TGGAAAACGTATGTTCTCACCGTTTTCGCGCCTTCTAATGTGATTTTCGGATTCAGCGTTGCGAATAACTCCGGTAAGTGGATTTTCTAGAAATCGAATTTTTGCCCGACACTGCCTTTAAAGTGCAGAAGCATTCTTTGCGAAACAGACAGTTGAGAAATGAAGATCGAAGAAAGCTTAGACACACATAACGACATACAGGGTGTCCCAAAAAGATGTGCACACTGTTTGATTTTGAATAACTTTATTATTATGATGTCTTTCGAGAAGCGGTAAGCGCCATTTTGTAGAGCTAGCTTCAACTTAGATTTACAGTATAGAGTGAATCACCGACCACTCTTCATTACTGTAGGATTACGGTAGAAACTTGGAACATATGGTGTCAATGTGGAAAAAGCTACCGTTTCAAAAATTTTCAAAAAAAAATGTGAAAACTTGTCTAACAGGGTTTCCGTGGACGCTGAGTTCAACACTCAACTATTCACAAGATTGCGAAGCCTTCCAAACGGTGTAACCACACTTTTTAGAAACATTGAAAAAATGGCCGCTACCTTTTACCTGGCGTAACTCTTCAGTGAAGCATCATAATAAGTTGGAAACTTTACAATTATAATCAGCAACTCTAATTAGCCTAGTATAAAAGTTTTTAGGTTGTTTTGATTCCTTTCTGAGGCAAAATACGGCATTTCATGGCCCAAAATCCTCTTTCAAGTTATTACCGTAATCCTACAGTAAAGAAGAGTGGTCGGTGATTCGCTCTATACTGTAAATCTAAGTTGAAGCTAGCTCTACAAAATGGCGCTTACCGCTTCTCGAAAGACCTCATAATAAGAGAGTTATTTAAAATCAAACAGTGTGCACATCTTTTTGGGACACCCTGTATAATTCAAGTGTACATATACATGATAACTTACCTTTTGTAGATGAATTGTAAACTCCTTCGAGAGGCACCGTGCAGGGTCAAACTATCGCTAGCTCACTTCACAAAGTAAATCCGCATCTCTTCACAAAGAAGCCACCAAGCGGAAAGCAGCAGTACGAGTCACACAACTACCTGTAATTACACAACATTGCGCTGAAACTAGAAGCATATTTTTGAAATTAGCGGGAGCTGCGTGTTAGCGAACGGCTGAATTAGTTGCGTACTGATTGTGCCCCGGTGCTGCTGTACACCTAGAAATCCCCGGTGAATTCGCAAGTTTCTAGCAACCCGCGGCACGTGCCCCGGAAGTAGGTGTCTCGGCTTTCGTGACGTCACCGGCCGTCCCGTCGCCCCGCCCCACGTGGCGGCTCCAGTGATTAAGCGTGCCCCGGAAATGCCAGAGATAGCCGCTGTCCCCCGGAAGCCTTTTGCGATTGTCGGGGTGCTTAACGATGCTTGAAGGCAGCGTCCCGGCAAAATGATGGATGTTGAGGTTTCACAGCATTACGTTACTGAACCTCCCAGATAGTCTGTCAGTGAAGTTTGGGGCAGAAAAGCGCTTCAACATGTAAAGCTTCTTGAGTACGATCTGTAATAAAATATTTGGCATGGCTGACTAATACAGCGGATAAGCGCGGAGCCTATGAATAAAGTGGTCGAGGGCTCTTTTTGCGCTTTCCAATTTTGCGTACGGGAGGGGGGTTGAGTTAAGCTTTTTGATATTGGAACGCCTTTCTATACATGCCCATGTTTCGTTTGCGAAAATCGCTTTTTCTGATCTATCGATTGGTGGCGCTCACCCGCTTGATCATGTCACTGCAACAAAAGAGTTAATTCTCTGTCCAAAACTCTGCTCATAATGTTCTTATCGGATTGTCATCTGCAAGCCGCTTCAAAACTATTCGGGCGCTATTCCACATTAGTTGACCCAAAAAATGAAAATCGTGAATTTCGCTAAAACTTCGTCTAGGGAGGTTATTTGGTACGCTGAACACGAATATGATGTTTGTTTTGTGTGACAGCGCCATCCGGTAGGGTTACGGCAGGCATACGGTATGAGGTCAAAATCTCAGAATTCGTTAAAACTTTGCATAGGAGGGGGGGGGGGAGTTATTCGACATGGGTTATTCGACATGTTAATCACGAATATCACATCCATCCCCCACGAAAACGCCATGCGGTAGGGCTACGGTAGAATTACAGTATGGGGTCGGGACCATAAAATTCGCTGAAACCTTGCATGGCGGGTTTGTTGGACATGCTGATCACGAAAATGAAGGTATTTTTGCAGGTAGAGCGTTTTGCAAGAACGTAATGCTTTCCATGCAGCAGCGCCGCGTGCGACACACTCTGCGGCTCTTGCCTAAGCAAAACAGGAGGAGGAAAGATTCACGGCGTGCGCGAACGTGTAGTCAAAATCAGGGAGGCGCTGGAGACCCCCGTGCGAAAAGACCATCTCCCATTGCATGATGATTTGGCCATTGGAGAACCTGACTCTGTACAATAATCCTGCCGTAACCTTACCATATGGCGTTTTTGTGGGAAATCAATATGATATTCGTGATCAGCAGGTCGAATAACGCTCCCAGGCGAAGTTTCAGCGAAATCCGTGATTTTCAATTTTTGCGTTGTATTAAGTGGAATAGCGCCGGACTTAACGATCCAGTGGACATAATCAGGGAACCTTACAGTCCGAATGAAAAGAAAAACACATTGTATAAGCAAGTTGAAGATGTAAGATCTAAGCACAAGCCCGCTTGCGCGTCCTACTTCTCCGCTGCTTGCGACGCGCGGCGTCGCCTAATTTAGTGAGTGCCCGCGACAGATGCTGGGTGATATCGCCTATAGACTTACAGTCAAGTGGATTTTCTGCTTAATATAGTGTGCTTGCACTGAAGTGAAATGCGGTAAAATTTGCGCGTAAAGAAATAGCTACGCCTGTGACGCCGGCCATTTGCGCGCGCAAAATGTTGGCATTACTGGCGTGGCTATTATCGACTCCCCAACTTTGGCGAGGCGGGATCGTGATCCTTCACCAAAGATCGATGGATCAGGTATGCCTCAGCATAGGGCAACCGCAACGCAAGGCACGCTAGCGCAGCTCCGCCTCGCCAAAGTTGTGGAGCCGCTCAGCCGCTTGTTCACGGCCTTCACCGCACTTTACCTTCAGTGCATGCACACTATATTAAGCGGGAAATCTCCATACAAAGGCCCAGGCCGCGCACAAATCACAATTGAAAGAGAGGCTAATAGACGCGGTTATGTAGATGAGATCAAACAGCATCAATAACACAACATCACAATCAAACAACATGTAGCACACGTCACGTCTGTCCACCCCAAGCTCTTCACAGAGTTTTTTACCCATGCAGGACAAGTTCCATACGGGGTTTAGATTAGCATAAATTCGCAAGGTTATCAAGTCGTGCACTCTGCTGGAGAGGATGAGCGGTACCTTAAGTGCAGCAATTTTACAACACTCACAGCTTCTTTGAGCTAAATACATGTTGCTCAAAAACGTTTCACATCGGCAAGGCTTCTGAACTGGTCACAAATGCGCGGAATCTTCACCGTTATGAGATTCCAGAGCACTACATGTTCACAGCACGTTATAGTCGGAAGCCGCGAACAACAGGAAGAAAGGAGGTTCGAGAAATGTACATGGTTTTGCAGTCTGGCATTTTCGCCTCCGTTTCTCCTTACAGACCAGTTTTAGATCCACCTTGGGCCAGGTTGGGAACGCCATCCAGTGCGCCAAAAAAGCAAGCATGTGTACAGTCTTAATAGGACGCACTAAATTTATTTATATACTTTGCATGAATGAAAACAAGAGCATGTTGATCGTGCAATTCCTGGTATCTAAAGCGTCTGTGAAGACTGTTATATGCTTGCAGAGCATGCTCAAACAGTAGGCACTTTCTTTTCTTGCCCAAGAAACCTCCATAGTACCAAGTACAGGGCTCCTTAATTACAGTCGCTTAAAGCGGCAGGTTACGTCCCGCACGGCCGCATCGCCTAAACCCTGCGCCGCGTCTGCGATGCGTGACCCGAGCATTTTGCCGGCCTCGATCGATGGCGCCGGCGCTGGCATTGTATTTTCTCGGCCGTTTCGTCTCTTTTCTTCGTTCTTTCGCTCAATTTGCCCTCAACTAGCCTCATGATAATTTTCGATGTCATATCTTGCCGACAATCTGCGTCACAGTTCTCTTGTGCACCTAGCTGATGTTTTAGGATTTAGGTTTGGCAGAGGTGGGATTTTTTCGTTCACTTTATCTCGTTTCTTCGTTTTTTCTATGGCCCCTCATAGCAGATAAACACACAGCTCATACATTTGCATGGCGAGAAGAACAGGAGCTAGGAACGTACAAATACCATAGGTAAAATAACTGTTGCGCTGAATTTTGGCATATTTCTTCATCACAGAACTACGATAAAACTTTCTGAGGAACCACAGCGCGAAAAAAAACGAAGAAGCGAGATAAAGTGAACGAGAAAATCCCCTAAAACATCAGCTAGGTGCACAAAAGACCTGTGACGCAGACTGTCGGCATGTGACATCGCAAAATTATCATGAGGCTAGTTGAGGGCAAATTGAGCGAAAGAACGAAGAAAAGAGACGAAACGGCCGAGAAAATACAATGGCGCCGGCGCCATCGATCGAGGCCTGGCAAAATGCCCGGATCGCGCATCGCAGACGCGGCGCAGGGTTTAGACGATGCGGCCGTGCGGGGCGTACGCTGCTCGTGTAAGCGACTCTGTAATTGAGGAGCCCTGTACATCGTGCTTCTATAACTTTTGCGCTAAATCATTTTTTATGTCCACCACTGAGAGACGTAGTTCTCTTCGGGTACTCTTTAAGAAGATTAGTTCATGCAATTTTTAGACGACATCAAAACATAAAAAGTTTAGACTTCTACCCGACGCTTTGAATGACCAATCAGTCTTTTATTGAAAATTCCATAACTATCTGCTATACATTGTCAAGACAGCGGATCACTATAAGTTTGCGCAATGCAAATACGAAGATTCATAAACTTGCAACTTTCAAATAAGTACTTCGAAGCATGTCTACACAGATTCAAACATTCTGCGTACAATATGTTTGCGAGTCACACGGATCAACTTCGCATGCATAGATGTACTCTTGACGACAATCAACTGGTGCCCATAACAAATCTGCACCCTGAGAGACTATTCGTACACAGTCGACGTCTGTCTGATGAGGTGATGATGACACCCAGGGTTGATTGGAGTCAGATAGCTGCAACCAATTTTCTGTACTTCATAGATGACTTCAAAACTTGCTCACTGGAGTTCCATCAGCCCAGATGTATGTTTGTTGTAGTTGATCCCATTTTAGACCGATCCAAAAGCTACTGCCAGTATTGAATCCTATAATTCTCCAATTATCAAAGCGTTGTCTGAATTTTCTTCTACTTCGCTCACTTTGCTCAAGAAGAGCCGTCTCATTTGGGCTCTTCGTCATTGCTACACATCCGTTCTCGTTCTTACACCGATTCGATGCCAGTTGATAAATTGTCTGAGTTTGCTTTGCTGAGTAGCAGTCTAGAAAAGTGATTACTCAGGTTTGCCATGAGGCACCATTATCGAGCTTGATTCTACCCACTGCCTCTTGGAAAACTGCGGTCGATATCCGTTTGGAAAGCTTCATATCCCAATCGACAAAAGCAGTTTGCTAAATGAGAAAAAAATAGATATTGGTGGGAACAAATTTATTTTAAACTGAAAGTTATGAGATTGGAAAACTCTACGCTACAAAATGAAAAGTATAAGGCCTCCTGTAGCCTGTATTTGACCATCGACGCTCAAGCATTTTCAAGGTATATAAACGAAATTTCGGATGCTAGAAAATGCCATAAAAAGTTTTGGCTCCCGAAAAACTTCGCCTTTAAAAGTCATAAAACAAACAGCATCAGCTTCTGCTATAGAAGTAAAGGACAGCTCTTATGGAGCAAGAGCAGCTTTTTCAATTGTATGGATGCTTCACTCAGTTAGCAAGCACAACAAAATAAAAAACGTTACGAAATCACCGAACAACACAGCATATTTTATTTGTTTTAAAAATTTTTGAACATTTCTATGGTGCCATCGTCTAAGACATACCCGTCTGTCTTAATTACATTTTACACGTTGTATTTTGACACAGTATCCATCAAAAACAACAAGACTTTACCATCACACAGCGCTCGCTTTATTCCGTCTCCTTCTACATCGTCTAGGTTGCTCATAAAGTAACCAGGAGATGCAATATCTCCGAGTTTTGGCTCCGGAAAACTGTGCGTCTCGACGTAATCTGAAACACAATCAATTCTCAAAAAAATGGGATAGCCGCCATAGCTTACTGTAAACCACCAAGACGCCATTATCTTCTTTAAACTGAGATGCAACCTGAGCAGCTGCATACTCTGCACCAGCACTAAAATTGGTGTTTTTGGACTAAATACTTTCGCCCCAATATTCCTTCCATAGTTTTTGCATTTTTTTTGATATTTCGAAGACAATCCTCGATTTTTTGGATTATTTATTTTTTTCTGATATTTAAATGGCATAATATTTTTATGATTGCCCTTAGTTTTTGATCAGGATGAAAATAAAGAACCTGTGAATCAGCGAGTACGAAGCTGCCATAAGCACGATCACATTTCTAGCGTTCAAACGATCACCAACTGCTTGAAACTGCATCGAAGCCATACGAAGAGCACTATGACATGAAGATGAAAGGTCAGGACCTTTATTCTTCTTTTCAAATTACCCTTCCAAATTCGGTATTTTGTCACCGTAATAAGGCAATGTATCTATAGAGAGAAATTCATCGTGAGTAAGCGATCCGAGTGGAGCGTAAAGATTGGTAGTGGCGCCATAGACAACAATTCCAATCCGTGTAGAGAACTGCAAGAGAAAGTATATGATTTACCACAATCGTTCACTAATTTGGCTGCATTCATTAAGTACCAGAAGCTATAAGTTCAATTCATAATAAGGTATAGGAGAGTAAACAGCTAGCAAAGATTATCTGCACATTTTCTAACAACTTCATATGAGAAATAGCAAATGATTGTTCACTATTGCACTCAGTTGTCTACAATTCGTTTTTAAAATCGTGACGACGGACTCGACTGCGATCTTTGCGCCCACAGGAGCATGGGACACTCATACAAAAAGGCATCATCCCAACGCTTAGGTCAGTCAATTACATTGTCTAGATACGGGTGTGGTGCAAGAGAAATGATAGCAAATGCCAGCCGCTGCTGCCAATGCAATATTTGCCTCAAAATGCGCAGATCTCAGACTTATGAACATGAGTAAAATTGGAGTAAATGCTTTACTCGATAAGTTCTACTCAGAGCCCAGTGATAAGTGCAGTTTGCTTATGTTATTGCAAGAAAAAACTTGAAATACTTGAAGTTTCACCTTTGAAACCCCTTTTTGGTACTTGAAGCTTATTTTCACATCTTATTTTCAAGCAAACAGAGTCTATCTCATTCACCTGTTCATATAAAAGTTTAATAGGAGAAAATGTTCTAGATTTCTGCGTGCTGGTGGACAAAAATGACAGTGAAAGATGCGCGAATTATTGACACCCACAACCTATCGTTCCTCTTGCTCGCCACCCTCTAGATACTATTAGGTTGTTACATAAGTCTTGTTACACTTTAATTTTTTAGGACGATAAGTCGTAAACTTCATAATTTTTATAGGGCTACAGGGAACCGTTGGATAGAGCAAAGCAAGCTCTACAAGATAGTATGCAAAAGTTCGCACCAACTTCGACCTACTGTAACTTTGCATGCAAAATCTGAGTCGTAGTAAGGGCTCAAAAACTGCGAAAAATTCATATCTTTGTTCACAAAAAACCCACGAATCTCCAACTTGCTCATAAAAGTTGCCCACTATATCAGACACTCATAAGTACCGTTTCTGTATTTCTCCCTCATCTAGAAATCAAGAAAAGGAAATTTTTTAGTTTTTACAAAAACGAAGCTATGCTGTATCTATTCATGTAGCTGTATACTACAAGCCCTCAGAAGTATAATCGTGAATTTCCAGCTCTCCAGAAGCTCTAGTTTTCGAAAATTACCTATTTTAGCATTCAACAACCGAGTGAGAGAAACTAAATTTGGTATTTTTCGAAAACTAGAGCTTTTGGAAAGCTGAAATTTCACGGTTATACTTCTAAGAGCTTGTAGTATACAGCTACATAAATAGAAACAACGTAGCTTCGTTTTTGTAAAAAACTAAAAAATTTCCTTTTTCTCGATTTCTAGATGAGGGAAAAATACAGAAACGGTACTTATGAGTGTCTGATATAGTGGGAAACTTTTATGAGCAAATTGGAGATTCGTGGGATTTTTGTGAACAAAGATATGAATCTTTCGCAGTTTTTGAGCCTCTACGACTTTTTGGATGCAAAGTTACAGTGGGTCGAAGTTGGTGCGATCTTCTGCAAACTGTCTTGTAGAGCTTGCTTTGCTCTATCGAATGGTAGCCTGGGGCCCTATAAAAATTATGAAGTTCACGACTTATCGTCCTGAGAAATTAAAGTGTAACAAGACTTATGTAAGTAATACTAGATACTATCATACGTGAGCAAAAAACCATTCAAATGAAGAAGAAAACCAAGAAACTTTGATTGCCGGAAGTATGTGCGTGTCGCGCGCGGTCGCGTCATCGTCACGATTTTTCGATTGCCCTCTACATTACACGCTCACATTACTATCAAATCATGATTTCCGTATATTCTCGATGACAGAAAAAGTCTAAAACGATTGGCACTAAAATGTTTGTTTGATCTATTTCTGCCTAATTCTGCTCAAATTATGTACTACATCTGCATATCAAAGAATATAGACTAACACGAATTGATATGAAGTTTTCACCTCGCTGAACGTAGGACATGTACGAATTGCGAAAACAAGACGCGCCTATATTGCAAAAAATTTCAAAACGGTATGTGCGCAATATGCAGTTTTTCAGATCAATCTCATTGCAAACTACAACATTTACCTGCTCCGCTGACGTATATGGTTGGATATTGAAGCGATACAGATTCGCCTGCACATGAGCGAGCATCTGAATTTCTATAGAGTTCGCTGAAGCAAAATCAAGTGAGCTTTGTGGCTCAAAATTGTCTACGTATTCCTGGAATACTTTGAAGTACTCACCTCCTGCAAGCCAGGTTCACTCATAGCCTCTGTCGATTCGAATACAAACATCACATCATTCCAAGATGTCGAGTAATTGCAAGCACAACCTTTTGCATCTACATGCGCAGCAGCAGTGGTTGTTGGCACAGTCAAATTTTGGATTTCAGGATTTTTTGGTTGTGGAGTGGACGTGAGGACATGAGGCTTTGCCGTAGACTCCGTAAAGCTCTTGTTAGAGGTGGAAGAGTTGAGAGTGATCCTTGTCGTTTTATCAGCTTCACCGTTCGGGTCACATAAAAATAAATGCAGTAGTAACGGAGGTTTCTCAGTTTCTTTGGAGTTTGTTTGTTTGCGGCCAATGTCGCCATTGTGGTTTCCATACTAATTATCTCACCTAATCGAGCAAAATTCTGAATGAATCGCATGCGCAATCACATAGTAGACGTACAGTAATAACAACAATATATGCTGCTAAATAATTTACAAGAAAAACGTGATAAATACGCAAGAATTATCTCCGTAGTAAATACGAATGAGGATTTTTATTTCATGCAAATGCAAAAGCTCCTGCACATAAAAGGTTGTGTGCAGACTAATCCGGAAGTTCCGAACGGTTCCAGCAAGGAGCTCGAACTGTACCGGACCTTCCAAACCGCACTGAACACAGCCTTACGTCTGAAACTGGTCTATCACCTAGCAACTCTTATCAAAAACTCGAATAGATATCTGAGAATTACCAGATATCATTACTATTTTTCAGTGGTGGACCGAGGAGAAGGGGGGGGGGGGATCTTCCGCGAATGGGTCGCGAAATTTTGAACTTTGGTAAGTTTTAAAAATGAGCAAGTAACTTATTCATACTTGTAGATAATTAAATTCGTAAACTTCAAAATTCAAATTAGCTTTGTATTTTCGCTCTCTGAGAGTGCAGTTGCGGCAAAAATCCTGGGATGCGTCAAAAAAAACTTTTCGCAATGCGTGGCTAACAAGATTTTTGTCACCCCTTACCCCCCCCCCGGAGGAAAATTCTGCGATCGCCACTGTTATTTTTGTATTCACTGAAAGTTTTTGATATTGAGACTTACATTCACTATTGATTGAACATGTTCGCTGCGCAAGACAGTAATCCAAACGTTTGTACGAGCCCAGATCGTTGACTTCCACTGCAAACACAGACACAGCCGGGAAATTCCTCCACTTATGAGCTTTTCCGCTCAATGCAACGACGGTGATATCATTGCGGACATATTTACGGGCGTATTCAGCAGCATCAGATATTTCATCCTCATCACTGAAAGAATACAGAATATCTGAGCTAAGCGTCATTCTTAGCCTGGAGACGGGTTCAGATTGGGTTAAGTAGAAGAAGCGCGCTAACTGACGGACAGTTGGCGCTTAGTGTGACGTAAATGAACTTGAGCGCGCCTTCGATTTGCAATGGCGTCTACTCCCTTCTTTTTTATAATAGAAAAATGCAGTACGCTCCATGACCACTACTTTCAACTGCTACTCTATTTGTGAAACAAACATACAATTTCGCTTACGCAACACCAGATGTCAAATGTCCGTCATCAAGTGCGTCACTAATGCCTCCCGATTTCGTCACAAATTCGGTACGGCCTGACTAAAATTCACGAGAAGCAAGGCTTACTCAGCTTTGGAAAAGAGAATCACTGGATGACGAAAATCGTAATGATCCGTGATACGCTGCATGATCCTGAAAAATCAAAGATAATTATTTGCAAAGTCAAAGTGCAAAATTTTTGGAAAAACGGGTGCTGAATACTAGATTGAGTGAAAATAGTGTATCAGTACTTTTTCAAACTTTCTTTTCCCAAAGCTTTCCTCCTAGCCAAATCGTCAAGCGATTGCAGCTGTGAACAAGCTTCTTCGTAAAAGTTGGCATATTTCCTGTCCCATTTTTCAGCATCAGAAGCTCCGGTTAACATAAATGCGATTCCAAAGTACTTGTCTAAGCCGAAGCGAGGCACCAGGTGTGTTTCAATATAGGAGATTTCCTAAATAAACGTATAATTGCTGTTCTTTTATATTTATCCACTTGCTAATTCATTTAATTATCTGAATCTCTATTGGGGCAAAAATGGCTATCAAAAATGCTTTATTCTCTTGCAAAATGCTAGCATAGTTATTGATTGTTACCTTATCTATCTCCGAAAACGAACGCATATGATTAGTTCCATCAATTACGATTACGGTAGCCCCCTGACATGAGAAGTATGGTGACGATATCACACATTTGGAAGCTAAAATGAAAATTTATAGGTAAAACTTCCCATTCCTATAACAAATACTCCTCACAGCCTTCAACGGTAGAGCTTAGCGCTAGGAGTAGAAATAGGCAGAACAGCAGCATAAGCTCGCAATGGCATCTGATAAGCGATAAGACGCTTTTTAAGCCCTTTGCCCTGCTTCCGTGGCGACCGTAGTTTTTTGTTCGAGGTTTTTGACAGACAAGGTAAGAGACTTGTACTAGTAATGGATTTTTCTGCTCAAAAAACTCTATTGCAGAAGCACCATTCTTTTCTACAAGGTTCTCTATCTTGCTTGCAATCGACCAATCAAGCAATTAAACCAATCGAATACAGTGGGGATGGGCAAATTTTCACCTAATTCTGAATTTAGCAAAACGATGTCAAGTGATGATTTGCCTGGACGCTGCCTTTAACACATTGACGACGTGCAAATTTTGAGTTATCTGCCTTTTGGGACCACACCTGTCACGGACCAATCAACATTTTCTAGATGAACTCGCGCATACAGTCATTTACAGTATACCTACAGTAGCTCTAAGACTGGCAAACTGGACAGAGGCTATTTTTGGCTCCAGCGCAAAGGAAAACTCCTGAATTGAGTTTTCTCCAGGACAGTCATCCTTTATTCAAATTCAGACCTTGACACACCATGTGCGCCAAACGGTTCCATGTGGTAGTCATTGCACACCATGTGTATCGAGCTGTCGTCAACGTTTTAAAGGCAGCGTCCAGGCAATCTGATCCCATGGGGATTTGACCTGGAAGATGACGAGGGGGTCTGCCTATCCGGCCGACAGCCGCATTCATATCTGCCGGTGGTCGAACCCTTGGGAGGCGGCCCTTCTGAACCCACAGTACGCTACAGTAATTCAAATCCTGAGACGCGTACGCTCGCGCTGCGTTTAACGCGGACGAGTCGTTCCCTAATTTCGAAAGTCGCTCAATTTGCATTAGCGGCGCACAACTTGAATCAACGAACTAGTCTTACTGATGTCGCTATACTCCCGCATCTGGTATTCTGATGCGCATTCTAGCGCCCACTGGTCGTTAACTACTTCATTTCTAGATATTCTTGAATTGGTAAGTTGCATGTTATCAGACAGCAGGGGAGCACTGTAACTGATTCGTTATACCTTGTTCTTGTCTTTTTTTATTCGAAAACTGCTTAGCATTGAAAAAGTAAGACTTCCGATTGTTTTGATGACCAAACAAAAGCTCACTCCATTCATTATCTGTGTGTGCAAAGAATCTCTTTTTGCATCCTTTAGGAATGTTGTTTTCTGTACAATGCTTGTTTTGGGAAGAATAGTAAACTCGTCATTTTTCATTTCTACTTTTCCATCATTTTGTTCTGAAACATCTATATTTCTTTGATAATCAAACCTGCGCTCGAAACAGAATTTCATTTGCACGAAATTTTGTTGCTGACTGTCGATCGGGTTGCAGTGTTCTTGTGGCTAAAGTACTCGGCTGATGCTCGTAAAGACAGTTTTCGATTTGTCTGCTTTGAATATTTTATTGCATGAAGATCTAGGCCTTTATGCAGGTCGTCATGAATTACTGGAGGCATGAACCCTGTTTAAAGAGCTAGACGATCTAGTTTTTTTTGAGACGTTTTTGACTGTGTTGTTTTCGTGAGGTAAGACTGAAATGCTGCAGGTCTTTTCGTGATCCGGAATTTGTGACTGAGTAGGCACAGACGCAGGTTGTGAAAATTGTCACCTTGTTTGAGTTCTTTAGCTTGCCAGTTGAAGTTGTTAAAAATCACTACATCAGATACGCAAGATCTCCAAGCTTGTGTTCTTGGATTCTATGACTAGACGCCGAATTGTAAAAGAAAATAAGCAGGACGTGCGCGAAATAAAAAAAAAACAATTATTTCGTCAATGATTGCTCAATTTTCAAGCAACAATGAATGAGCAGACTAACGTCAACGCTAGCTGACAAGTTCGGTTACTACTCATGACTCTTGGCATCTCATTGATGTTTACTTGATTCTAGATGCCCCTGCTCTCTTGTGGCGTATTTCGAGGTGCATAGGTTGTAGGTGCACGCAGTACGCCAGCGACAAAACTCGTCCGAAACTGCGACGCGTCCTGACAGGTCACCGCTCGCTTACGCGGAGCGCCCAATCACAACTCGACCTTTGCAGCTAGGTGACCTATCACTGTCGTCGCGATTGGAGCGGGTTCAGAAGGGCCTACACCCGAACCCTTCGGAGCTGAGTGAAATTGACACCACCCCCACCGACCGATGTGAATATATGCTAAACCGCCAGCACTATGCGCCCACAAAGCCTCAGCCGATGCGGACGCGCTGCTCCACGTGAGATCGCCTACTTAAATTGAAACAGACTGTATCACCTACGTCGTAATGTGACTGTGATGGTTTGCCGTTCCACAGCCGTTATTTGCTCTCATTTCTAACCATGAAAAAAGGCTATTAATGACTGCATATGCAAAAGTAGATGGTAGATACGTATTATCTGAGGAAATCAGATCGACGTAATTAGGTTTTTCTAACTTTAACTATATATAAATTGCTATCTCTACCACTGTAATTTCTTTGTTATTATTATTTTGTTAAATTAAGCTTGTTTATGGAGAGGAGGTTCCTCTTGGGATGAATAGGGTTTTCGCCGGGTTATAACTCTCTTGCTATGAATGGATATGACATTGATGAAAGGGCCCGTCGCTGATCTCCTGGCAGATTTTGAAGTTCTTCATGATCCCATCATCTTTACGGGCAGGCAAGATTTGCGTCCAGATTTGACTTGCCTAATACCACTCTCACCCTTTACCCCCAACTAACTTCGAGGGCAGAAAAATTCCGAATAGGTCGCGATGATATAGATAGTCACATGATTAAGCAGAGCCAAAACTCCTTTTTCAAAAGTTTATTATTCACTTTGAGCGAATATGAATATGATTCAATGAGTTATGCTGCTAAATATACATCAATATCTATCGCATGGCGCAGAGTGAACTGATCAGCAAGACCTTGGCCAGAAAGATTCAAATGAGATTGTCGTGTACGTTGAACGCTAAATGGTGATGGGGAGAGGTCTTGCCGATTGATGTAAAGCTTCAAAGCACAATTGATGATACCATAAAAAAAGTGGAACAACGTATACAGCACATGTAGTGCTCATGCACATGCCACAAAACCGAGATGCTCACATTATAAAAGAACCGAGTAATGATGACAAGGAATAACAAAGGCGACAAATGCAGTGACATGGAACTGTAACAGCCAGACTTTTAGCCTACAGAAGTACAGTGGGGGACCGCGCCAATGAGATTAAGGCAAAGGTCGTTGTTTAACTCGCATAGCCGACACAAGTCATTTGCTACAACGTATTTCGTACCCATTTGTGAGGAGCAACAACAACAAAAAAATCAATGAAAAAAGATATGCGCGAATGTATGGCAAGAAAACGAGAAAACAGAGTGGAATGGCCAACATTCAGAAACAATATTTCAAACCAGGGCTAGACGGTAGAAGAGATCGCGCTCTATCGGCATAACGAACAGATAGAATGAAAAGTAGTACATAAGCAAATAGCACATAAGCGTTTGTCGATGACAGAAAGGCAACTGGCCAATACATGGCGAATGGTGAGAAAGCTTATAGTATCTTGAGTAAGAATGTCCAACATTATTACAGTGCGAGATGAAGCTAATAAAGCAAATTGAAAGGAGGGAAATGCGCCCTAAGAGCGAAATAACAAAAAAGAAAATGTAAGATGTCACATGAAAACCTCTCAGTTATTTTTCTTGTGTATGATGTGAATTGTCATGTTCATGGCATACAACATTAAGATTTCTCATGGATAAGGATAACGCATCCTCCTCGAGATAATCATGAATAAAATTCTCATGGTCAAGATGGAAATCCTGAAACACACACAATTCCGATTACTTCAAGTATTCTGAGGAACCTTCAGAACTGCTTAGTACCTATATTTTCAACTCGATCAATCAAAAAATTAAAAAGAGCAAAATCAGATAGCAACCTAGATGTAAACAGCCATTCAAAAAACATCTTTTTTTAAATGCAGAAAAGTTGCAGAAACCCTGAGAAACTGCATACAGGAAGAAATCTTTGTTGTGCAAGTTAGAGCTCACATCAGTTCCATAATGCAACTGACCTGCACATCTCTTACAGCATCAAAATCATCTGAGAGCATGGTTGCTCCTTCTGCTGACTCACCGGTGTTGTCGTTTTGTACTAGAATGTTTTCGTCCAGAGGAGCTGTGACAGCCTACAAATGACATTTGACCAGGATTAGCTATGCATAACGATTTCACTCACTTGTGCTTCATTGTAGATGTGATATTGATCTCCATGAGTGTACCAAACTGGTTCACAATGACCATGCGCTTGAACCAATACACCAGCGTTTAGGATGTCCATTCCAGGACGGTAGAGAAGACGCTCAGGAGGAGGAAGACGTTCGCTCAACTGTTGAATACCCGGAGATAGAATTCATTTATTATGGATTCGACAGGTAACTCACAGCTATGTCCTCATCCGCAAGATGCTGAGTTATTTGCATGTGACGACGAGTGTACTCGAGTTCCGACTGGGGTTCTGTTGACAGAACCAGCGCAGATACAGGCGACCTACTGCGCGCCTCTGTCAAATGTTCCATTGGCATGAAGCTCTGCTCAAAATGTGGCACCAGCGGAGGAGAAACTCGGGGTACTGAAGAGGGCAATACTTTGATAACAGAAAAAATATTGAAAAAGTGATGAAGGAAGGTACCAAATTCATCGCTAGCATCAGTCTGTGGATAATGGCCATAATCAGGATTGAGCGCGTTCTGTTCCAAATTGTTCGCATCCGACAACATTTGCGACTCGATGCTTGTGTAAGAACCATGGACGTAGTGGGCTTGAGAGCTCAACGTAGAACTACAGTCGCTTCCAATGGAATAACGACCGCTCAGGGATATGACAGAAGATGAGTTGGGTAGTCCCTAAAATTCTTTGCTGGAGATTAAAATAAAAAAACAGATAAGACTTACCATTTGCGCATCCAACATGTTGCCTGGTAATCCGTACACTTCTTGCTCGTCGTTAGGTTCGAGAATAGCATCAGAAAGAAAAACACCACCGTGCTCGTCCATGGATGGTTCAACATCTAGCATGCCTGCACGACACGCTTTCAATCCAAAATGCAGTTTTCCAAAAAGGAAAAAAATCTTACACTTATACTTCTCGTGAGAGCAAGAATATCGCCCGGAGAGGTGATAAGAGTGCCGAGTGGCAACCGCGACACCGCCCTGCGAGTGCGATTGAGAAAGGTCATCCAAAGTACCCAACGGTGCAGGATCATCGATTACATCGTCTTCGTCATCATCGTAATTCTGAAACAAAACTCGTAAAAGTGAGAACTCATTTAGAAGATTCATATCGCATTTAAAATGCTTTTAGCCTTTTTAAGCGCACATTATCTGAGAAACATGAATTATCTTTTCTCCGCGAGGAAAAATAATGAAAACTTAACCTTTGCAAAGTGCGCGAGCACAATATCAAAAAGCTGTTCATGACAACAGACTCTGCAAGCGAAAGCGCATTACATTTGTTTGATTCTCTGCAGGTGAAACATCAAACAAGGGGATAGCTATGTAACTGTGAGCTCCTAGGATGCTGACGAATTCTCTAGATCATACCGATTGCGGTGGCTCAAAGAACTATTTGAGGCAGCCGTAGTAGCGCGAATATAGTTAAACGAGACAATGTATCCAATAGCTGAGACCTTATGTGGAACTGATATTACGAAATATAAATTTTACCGTCGTGTTTGTAAGACTGGAACTGGACATCGTAGTGCGAGGTATACTACCCGAAGACCAATCATCTCTCGTATCGTATTTTCTCCACGATTCTGGTGGTGTTAATGAAGCTCTCTTTGCCAAGCTTCCAGGATAAAACTCTTGACTTTCGCTCGATTTGTATAGAGATAAGGACTGTAAGGAAAAAAGTTTCCTAGATTGGAGAGAATAAAAGAAATCACTAACGTCAAACGTCCGGGGGAAGTTCTTATCCTGTACACTGCTAATGAGTGCATCCAGATTGGGCAGATTGTAATTCGACAACATTTCCCAATGGAAATCAGGATGAGTGAAAGCAGTAAGGAACACTATAAAAGCAAGATATACGAAACGGGGTGATGCACCCGAACTTTAAAAGAACTTACAGCGCTTCTGAACGGCGAAGTTGGTGGCTTTGCTCACATCACTAAGGATCTGGTCTATGTAGAAGCTTCTTGTATGTTGTTGACTGCCAGAAGAACTGGTAGACGCTCCAGTGCCTCCAGAGTGACAAGAAGATGATGACCCGGCTGGACTTGGCATTGCACCGGAAGTCGAACCTGATCCTGAGACAACAGACCCTTGCGAAAAGGCGTGATGTCTGTCATCGCCGCCGCTGCAGGTTGCTAAAAACACACTGATTTGATTGACTCCACCAAGCGGAGGAGATCTTACTTGAATTTAAGTCTTCTGAGCAGGGAGAAGTAGTGGATGTCTCATTGACATGATTATCCTCAGCACGGTCATCTTCACCCGATCCTGTCTCAGTGTCCATACCAAATACTTTCTTTTCAGAATTCTGCGTCATTTGCTAGAAAGAAAACTGAATCTAAAACAGCTTCTACAGATTGGAGAAACCTGTTGATAAGCAGCAAGTTGGAGAATGTTGAGTGGCATGGATCGCATAAGTGGATTACTTTTCTGCAAAAAGAAAACAACTGAATTCGCAAAAAAGAAAAAAAAAAGATAAAAGAGAGGGTGACCCAGACAAGCAAACCTTGCGTCTTCCTCCCGTGTTATGTGGTCTATTCTTTTTCGCTCTTTCGTAAGCTTCATCTCCGTGAACGGTTTTGATGTGCTTCCGCAGTGATGAAGGGTCAGTATAACTTTTTCCGCATTGAGGAATAGAACAAATATATGGTTTCTGCAAGAAAAAAGGGGTTAGATTTGGGGCAGAATACCTCAAAATTTTTGCAAGATTTGTCGATATATTCAAAAGAACACGTGCAAGAAAACAAGGATAAAAAACATAGGTAACGCTGAGTGTTCTCGTAACGGAGAACAATGGGCGTACTTACCAGATTAGAATGCGTCCTGTTCTGGTGCTTGGCACGATCACTAGCATTACTGAAAGCCTTAGGACATCCAGGAATCTCACAAGCATATGGTCTAAATTCATTTTGTTTACTAATATAGCATGAAAAACTGTATGTTCATACTTTTCGCCGGTGTGAGTTCTCATGTGTGTTTTCAGGTTCTCAAGACGACTATAAGACTTGTTGCAACCAGGGTGCTGCAGATTCATTATCAGGAGAAATATCAAAAGTACGGAAATGACTACATACCGTACACTCATTCGGTTTCTCTCCCGTATGTTTACGAACATGAACGACTAACATGTACAATGCACGAAACGGTTCCGTACGGTCACAACCTCTCCATTTGCATACCCAGTCACGGTTGGAGATATTTACATGACAATCCGAAACATGGTCCACCAACGCCTGGAACAAGAGAGAAACAAGGAGATTCGACAATTAGCGATATACGGCAGCTATACAGAGATGTAAAGAAAAAGCTTTGAAATTTTTACCTTTTGAGTAGAGAAGACAAGCTGACATGCGCCCCATTCACACTTCTCTTCCGTCAATGTTTCCACGTCGACTACCTCGTTTGATACGTTGCTCTCGGATTCTTTGAGTGAAACGTCACTCAGAGAGGACCCACTGAAAAGAAGTTTACATACATAGATCCAAGCAGATCATATACCACACTTCAACGGTGTCTTTGTTCATCAACAAAACTGATTAGATTCTGTAGGTATCTTTGCATACGGCTCAGTCGCGTATTGACAGTCATCTCACGTTGAAATTATTTGAACTTCAGATCAAAGATGACTTGTGCTTGGTGAGTAGAAGGTAACATCCAATGATTAAACCACTGTCGGCCATAGATTTTGCATTTGGTAGTCCGTATGTCAGAAGCTTCAAGCTAATGAGCAGCCCGATGTGGAAAAATGAATATGATGAAATAGCAAGAATTTAGTACTAACGTGACTCTCGATGAGGACGATCCGATGCCTGAATCGTAATTGACTCGCTTATAAGTGCCCGGTGGACGACCGATCTTTTTACCCTCAAATCTCTATAATGCTTCGGGGTAAATGAAGATAACTTCACCTACCGATGGATAGTATCTTGGAGGATTGCCTGGTAATCGGACAGAACGGTGGCACATATCTTGTGCATCCATACGGGGGACCACAGGTGGAATACTGAGCGATGGAACACACGACGGACCAGGCAAGCATGGCATAGAAACCGATGCACCCTCGACCTTGAGCGGGCAGGGTGCGGATAGAAGAGTAGTCGCATCTTGTTGGTTGGGGCACGACGCTTCAGATGACGTTTTCGAGGGACCAGCGACTGGATTACAGGGCAGCACGGTCGGCTGTACAGAACCAGAAACGGATGCCATCATACTTGATGTTGCTGGATGGACGGATGGCAATTGCATCCCAGGAAACCGTCGCGGCGGAAGAACTGAAAAATATGAGTAAGTATAGGAGTAAGTATTCAATCAATGAACAAATTGTAGTTATGAGTTGATCCTTATGTTGAACGCGGTGCTTTGCCTCTCGCGATCACATTGATCAACTTACAAGTTTTAGTAACACTATCATCCTCACTTTACAGTTCTGAAGCCCACTGTTCCTCTTTTCATATACATTTTCGTTTAGCTAACCTGAGCACACTTGCCTCTGTAACAGCGATGTGAGACATCGGGAACGCGAATTTCAACGTAGCTCAACTAGAACCTCCGCCCTCCGCGCCAGATCACTACAGTATGTTTCAACCAGAAATAAACAAAACATTTAAATGAGCAGCGCGTCCGCCTCCTGTGGCCGTACATCAACGAACCCAGCTCCGTTCGAGCGCTGGGGGACGGTCAGGAGGTACGACTGGCGCGAATCTTTCGCGAAGCGACGCGACAACATACTTCAGCCAATACAACAGCAGCGCACCTGGTGCAAAATTACTAATGGTCTCGAGTCATGTATCTGCCCCTATCCCCAATCAGTTTTTGCCGCCGGGAATCTCTGACAGCGGGGACTTTTGCGGGTACCAAGATTTGGACGCAGCATGCGCGGAAGAGCGGTCGCCGCGCGCGGCGTACCTCCTGACGTGCAGCCCAAGCGCTGGGCTGGAAATGTTCCCGACTTTCACATCAGTATGAACGCAGCCTTACCCACCAGACCGGTAATCACGAAGCTGATGACTTTGCAAACTCAGCAGCGCTTTTAGCGAATATCGAGCCAACCCAGTAGCACTAATTTTAGCTTACCACTGGGTAGCGGAATCCGTTGGGTTCGTTGATGAATACGGCCACTGGAGGCTTTGCAACCTCACAGCGCTCTTTGCAGAACAAAAATTGTGCAGAATGATGAGATGCAGACACAATCTAAGCGATAAGATGTATTGTTGCTGCGAAACGGCGCGAACAGTTGCGAGGAGGACGCCCGTACCCAAGTTTCGCCTGAATGGATTGAAACCTATACGCTCTCTTCAACAAGTGTCGCCTGCGCGCGCGGCCGCCTCAGTTCCGGGGCATACTTCACGCGAGTTTAGTCACCACGCGATCTAGCATTTTCTCGGATGTGTTCAAGTCTAACACTGCCAGACTACAAATGCACAGGTGTATAACCTTCGTAGACTGATAAAATCCCTATCTTCTGTGCAGCCATAATGCGCTTTTGATGTTACAGCTGAAGTATTGCCAATTCGCGTCGCAATTAGCAACACTTTTTTAACCGGCCTCACATGGAACCTGTACTGCGTCAACTTATCCTGTGTATTTACCAAAGCCCCAACGTCTACGATCGAAGGCTGACGGGCATCAGAAAATGCCCGAGTTATTCATTGGCAGGAAACAAGGCGCCAGGAGGGAACCAATGCGGCGACAGTGTCATGGACGGAGGTTACCTTGAATGGTATATGTCGCCGAAAGGGTGGAAATCTGCAACAATTCGCGCTTCTCATACATACAAGGAAAGCGTATTTGTGCAAATGTCCGCTCGTGCCGCCCTTTTCGGCGACATATAGTTCTCTACCGGTTACTTGTCGGTACCCTTTGATTCAACTGGCTTGGCGGCTGGAAGGCGGGGCTTTGTGACCTAATTAAAGCTAGGTAATGATCTGAGAGCACGCGCGCGGGAGAGACGCAGACTGTGTAGCGGGCGCGAGCGGCTTTAATTGAGTCACAAAGCCTCGCCTTCCAGCCGCCAAGCCAGGTGAATCAAAAGTTATGTACCGACATAGATCTCCCTATGCTCCTTCAAGGGAAAAGCTGGAGGCGGAGCATCCGCTTGCGTGAAATGATTGCCTCCAGCACCATACAGTGCCCCACGCAGGTAGGGTACTATATGTCGCCGGAAAGAGGCGGCTCCTGCGGTCATTTGCAACAAATACGCACCCTTGCTTATGCACGGAGGTGCGTCTTTGCAGGAAGTCCGCGCTGGACCGTCCCACATTCGGCGACATATGTAAGGACCTGCAGGATTGCGAGAGTCGATGAGTTGTGGCCATCGCTCGCGCATTGAGCTTTCTCTGTTTTTTTTCTCCTTTTAGACGTTTATCTGCTATCAGATGTAAGCTTCCAATTATTTGAGGCGATTCTGAAAAGTACAGGACTGTTTGAGCGGTGAGGCCTTGTAGCATCCTGCGTGCGCTGTGCCGACTTTGTCAGCACGTTCTCACAACCGTGCCATCACTCCAGACAAAGTACCGTAAAGGTCATGCCATAGGCATGACCTGCTGTGATATGAGTATCTTATCGCCCAGAATATGTAACATTGACTCGCCATGCCTGTATTCGCCAGCATTCTACCACTGCATCAATGCAAGTCGTCTGACTCAATAAAGCTTTGAGCTTACGTCTAATAACATAGCGGAGCTACTTACTCCAAAGGCAAGCGCCATACTTGATCCGCTTAGTCCACTCGATCCGCTTGATCCGCTTCGTCATTGGTAAATTCAGTGAACTGAGCAATAGCGAAGCGGTTGTTCGCTTAATCCGCTTGATCCACTTCATCCACTTCACTGAATTGACCAATGATGAAGCGGATCAAGCGGATCAAGTGGATTAAGCGGATCAAGTATGGCGCGTGCCAAAGGCGATGTGGGCTATTCCGCCACATACGCAATGGCCGCAAACTCACATACTCTCGCAATCCTGCAGAGCCCTATAGTCCTCAACTCCCCGACGCATTGCAATCACACTGATATGAGCGAGGTGGGCTCTTATTCATGGTAAGCCGTAGGGATTTCAGCTATAACTCCTATACAACTTTGAAACAATGGAAAACGAACATGACGAAATAGTGGGAAACACTTAGACTACAAATGTGTTAGCAGTACAAGAAGCATGAAGCGCAGCTGTAAAGTGAATATCAAGTTGTGTAAGACAAAGACGGAGACGCCGAGTGCAATGTGGTCTCTGCACATTGCAGCACACCAGTGTGATTGCAGTGCGCGGGTCCTCGCAGTTCTGTAACCTGCATGTACGCGAGTCTCCCACTTTTGTTTTTGCAAGACAAATACCTTCAAACAGGCCTTGCTCACCTGGTTTACTTATTTTAGTGATGATAGAAGGTTTCACATCAGTTTTGGTAAGAAAGAAACGTCTCTTCTTGAAAGGCAAAGCATAAGGAGGAGAAGCTTTGATGGAAATTCTCTCTTGTGATTCATGCACAGGCAAATTGGAAGTTTCTGCTTGAACGCTAGGACTGCCAGATCCTTTGTGAAGATCATTAGAACACCCTGATGCTGTCTCAGCTTCTGGATTTGCAGATTTCTGCCGAAGAAAAATAATGGGCACTTTTTTAAGAAGAGTTACTTCTGTTCTTGAGCTTCTACAAGTCCTTGACAAGTGCGAGTTGGAGACGCTGTTAAAGGCCGTTTGCTGTTGCTTCTCAAACGGAGTTATTTCCAGTGACTTATCCAGATTCTTGCGTTTTGCTAGTAAAAATATACGACGCTTTTTGAGACACGGAGATTGGCTGCATATAATAGCTCTCTTTATAAAAGGTTCACCTGCCAAGCTTGCATTTGCAGCATCACCAGCACCATGACTGCGAATCTGCTGGTTAGGAAATTGCTCTCCACAAGAAAGATCCGCTAAAATCTTGCGTTTCGGTCTTGAAAGGAAAACAACTCGACGACGTGTCTTGGACGATGGGCTTTGATTTTCAGCAGGTTTTGAGAAGTGCACTGCAGCATGAGAAGTGATTACTCCAGTTTTTCGTTTACTCGGCAACTTTGCTCCAGCGTAAGTAGACGGAAAAAGCCTTATTCGTCTGAATACCATAAGGGGACCAATAGAACCCATCCTAGTGCCCGCGATTGGCTCAGGAAGCTTTTGTGGTGATTTGGAGATCGACGACGCTGTTGGCCTAGTATCCGTAATTTTCACTTGATGCTCAGAAGGTGGCTTAGCATTGCTATTCACAGCCTTAGCACTTTGATGAATAAGAACGGAAGGCTTTGTTGTTAAAGAAAACAAGCTTTTGGCAGCAGTCAACTTATTGTTGCCTTCAACATGGCTTGAGACAGCTTCGGAATCAGGTTCCTTGGGCGTCGGAGAAATCACACATTTGCTTTTGATTACCGGTGAAATTGTATTTGAAGTTATAGATTGTTCCATTGTGTCAACATCGACCATACCTTTTTGTGAAGTAGAAGTGTTGGGAACAAGATCTTGACAATTGACCGCAGCATCCGACGTAGCGGACGCAGTTGGAGGCTCAGGCGTTTGCGGAAAAGAAAGAACTGCGGTAGTAGAACATGGAGACTGCTTCAGAAGGTCCTCAACTGCAAAACTCGCAACACGTAGACGACTTTTTACATCATGGTTAGGCTCAAGGCTTGGCATCCTTGGGCTGGATGGAGATAATGCGGAGCTGTTCATCAAACTGAATGACGGCGATGATGATCCTGGACAGCATGGAAAGAGGGAACTGTGTTGCTGAAGGTTCTGTACCAGCGGCACTAATTCAGTTGGACAAAGAAGTTCTTGATGACTGGGTGGTAACAGAGGCAGATTTCTCAATGTGGGATACAGCGGAATGGGACGCAAGATGGAACTAGAGCTTGATGGACCAGGAAGGTTTCCAGCTTCTTCAGCGTGGAGATTTTCTGTGATATCACTGGGCGATGTCCCGACTGCGGTTGTCTCCATCTACAAAATGTATGGAATTCCTATGGGAACTGTAACCCGAAATTCGCGGCGATGCAAATAGAGGAGAAGAGAGAGGATGAAAGCTAGTGATGATAGCAAGGAAACCTGTGAAAATTATGATGAGGGACATTTGAAAGGAAGTTTATCAGATCTGCAACAGAAGAAGAATCGGCATAGGAAAAGAAAAGCCCCAAATATCGCACCTCACTTGAACTCTGGGCGAACTTCTTGTTGGAAATGGTTTTTTGGTTTAAATTGAAAAAAAAATCGAAAAAAACAGTAGCTGAAAAATTGTAATAGTAATAAA